GGGTAATGACGGGTGCTTTCTGTTCACAGGGCAAATGTGAGAAGCGAGTGCAGGATGTCATTGAGCGGTTCTGGGAGTTCATTGACAAGCTGAGCATCAATACTTTCGGTACGTGGTTTCCCCAGGTGGGTGGTTGCTTGAAACTGAGCTGATTTCACTGATGACGTTAGAAAAGTGTGGTTTCAGACTGATAGGCCCTAATCGTGCAATAGAAGATGGAAATAGTTACCACTTTTGTTCTGAAACGACTTCGTTGGCTAAAACAAAGTGGACACATTATAGGTCTGCCCCTGTGTAGCATGGATGCACAAATTTTAAAACAAGGGAAGTAAAAATACTGGCTTCTTTACTAAAAAATGAACATGTGACAGCGTAAGTGTCCTTCAGTCCTATAGATTGCAAAGCTGAATCCTGCTTGATATGAGTCATTTATTTAAAAGTGGGCCTCAGACTTTGCAGAAGCAAGGATGCACTGTGTCCTCTAGGGCTCATAAGTTAGGGTTTAGTCACAAAAACAATAGTACCCAGACAGCATCAGCATTGTCCTCGCAAGCATTGTTCCTAGTAGGAGCCTCCTCCAGGATGAGTCTCCTGCACTGTCCTTCCGGGGACTGTGTGGGCCCTCCTGTGATGTGATCTGTTCTCCACAAGCACATGGATCCATTCTGGGGAGAGCTCCCGTGTGTGGGGGGACAGCTGGGTGTAGAGCAGGTGGCACAGAAACGCTTTTGGGTACCAGCCCAGTTGTTATATCCCGCCAGCAGTCTGTGCCGTTTGACACGTGATAGTACTCTAAGAACGTTGCATTTTCAATTTCTAAAGTACTTGGTCAAGACATTCACTGTTTGGAATTGTTCACAGGGAAGTTTTTAGCAGACAACATCGTAGGCTCCGTCCTGGTTTTCTCCTTGATATTTTGGATTCCTTTCAGCATTCTGGTCCATTGTGTGGTAAGTCACCAGTTTTTAAGTAATGAAACATTTTATTAAAATTTTGAGCAACTCGAACCATGTTATCTTCGGAAAAGATAAAAATTTCTTCTTAGAAAAATCTGACCTGCTGTTTCCAATGACATTTTTGGTGCTATCCCTGGGAAAGCATTTTTTGTAAAAAGATTAACTAATGGTCTCTAAAAAAAATTACGTATTTTGTGCACGGATGTTTCGCTCTTATGTATAATTTCTGAGTTTTATACTTCTAAGCACAGGAGACTGGTTAACTGGGCTTGTCCAGGACCTCTGAGGAGTGAAGCTTCTAAACGAGCGCGCCCAGGCTGACTTTGCTGTGGCAGAGCAGATGCCAAACAGCAGCATTCCAGACATGCTGCCCCGTCAGGTCTGCAGTCTTGGCAGCGTCGTCTGGGGTGCTCGCTCAGATGCTTCCACATGAGGAGAGGGAGCCGTCTTCTTTATTGTTCAAAATGAGGAACAGTTAACAGTTGAATAGGGCTTTGAGAAACTCCAGGCACTTTATGAAGTTTGATTTTGAAACGGGTGCTGAGTGGGTAGGAAAGACCTACGGGCAGCTTGACTCGCCTAAGTCAGACCCTTCTGCTGTCCACAGAAACACGATTTTATCCCTGTGCTGTCACGGGGAGGGCTTCAGGGGCTCGCGAGGCTTCGCTGGGCGGCCTGGTCCTGTTTTCCCGAAAATTTCTTTCTCCAGAAATTTTCTTATAGATCCGTTCTCCTTGCTTCTGTGGGAAAAGGAGGATTTGTCTGCTGTGTAGATGAGGACGTCAGAGCCAGGCTTCCAGGCCTGTGCCCTGAAACCCCTGCGCGGGGCCCTCCCGCGAGCACGTGGGATGCTCCGGCCCGGCGAGCTCTCCGGTCTTCACGGCCCCGTGCCTTCCCTCGGCTGCGCGCTCTCACTGAACGGCTCTTCTCTCGGGCGGCGAGCCTGCCGGACGCCAGGAGGAGCCCTGCGAAAGCGGAGTGGTGTTAAAGGGGACGCGGTGGAGGCTTTGACAGATGGGCGACCGTGCCGTCCATTACGGTCGCTTTTACCCGAGAGTCAGACCTGCGTGGTTTACGGCGAGTTACGACTGTGGACCGAGAGGCCTGATGCTCAATTTCTGCGCAGGGCTGCCGACGGGAGGGCGGGCAGTGGCTTGTCTCTGACCTCAGCGGCCGTTCAGGGCAGCCAGGCTGGAAGCCAGGCCCTGGGCAGGGACCGAGGGCGGAGGGCGGACCACGTGTCCAGCCTTCTGCAGGGTGTGTGTCAGGACTCGAGGCCTGGCGCCGCCAAGAGCTGGGGCCACAGCGACCCTGGACACGGCCAGGAGGAGTGACGAGGCTCTGGTGGGCTGGGTCGCTGCGAGGCCAGTGCTGGCCGCACGGAGCCGCCCTCGTTCCTACCCGGGGCGGGGCCTCAGACACCAGCGCTTAAACCTTGCCTGTTTCCTTCCTTAACGCCAAAAAACACATTTCTTTGACGTGCAGAGCAAACACTTGGGCAGAACCCTTAAAGCGTGGCTGCAAAGTTCCTCCTCCTCTGCGCGACCTGCTTCCACTTTGTACACCTCCAGCTCTGAGTTCGTTCTTCCCCGGACAGTAGGAGGGGCTCATGAGGAAGGGGTGCTGAACGGAGCTGTTCGCAGGAGTGACGCTGCTCTGCTCTTCTTTCTAGGATAAGAAACTGGACAAGCAGTTTGAATCGCTGTCTCTGTTCCACCCCAGTGTAAGTATCTCTCACGAGTCGTTCTCGGTTGTATTTTGAGGCCTGCTAAGCAGAGACCTTCACTGGCCTCCCCAGCAAGAGCCACCAGCCTTTCCAGCGGCGCCGTCTCTGGCAGGAAGGTCCTGGGGTAGCAGGAGGGATCTAGGTTGGATGCTAAGGTCAGTTCTCATGACAGTGACGGTGAACGTTTGCTAGTCGCTTGGATGGTCAGCCCTGAGTGGTCAGCTGTTCAGCACGGGCTTAGTTTAACACTGAGAGAGCTTTTCCTGTCTTGGGATCCTGACAGCGTTGTTTCTCGTGAGTCTCCTTTGGGTCTTCAAACGGCGGCGTTTCAGGACTTGAACACTAACCGCTCGAGTCGCTTCTTGGGGTGCCTTCCCCAGCGTGGGGATCAGGGTGCCGATGGGCGCAGCCATCTGCCGGGTGAGGCTGGGACTGTGGGACCTGGGGTGCACTTACTCTGTGTCTTTCCAGAACGTCGAGATGCTGAGCAGCATGGATTCCGCGTCGGTTCGCATCATCAAGCCCTTTCCCGCGCCCCCGACCCCGGGCCGCCTGCAGCCCCCGCAGCCTGCCCCTGCGGTGCCCCCCGCGCCTTTGGTGCCTGTGGCCCCAAAGCTGGACCACCAGCGGATGGACACCATCCAGGAGGACCCCAGCACGGATTCGCACGCCGACGAGGATGGCTTCGAGAAGGACCCCTTCCCAAATAGCAGCGCAGCCGCCAAGTCGTTCGAGGACCTCACGGACCATCCGGTCACCAGAAGCGAAAAGGCCTCATCCTTTAAGCTGCAGCGTCAGAACCGCATTAACAGCAAGGAAACCGAGTGCTAGTTCAGGACCGCGTCCCGAGCGCTCTGACTTCCGTGTGCAGAATATTTTTATAGATTTGACCTCAAATCACTGCAGTTTTTGTGAAGATTTGGGAGAAAAAAAGGAAGTGACTTCACAGCAGATGCTGGTCATGTGTTTGGACTTCCTTTGCATATGTAATACTTGTGTGGTCAGGCCCTTTTCCTTCTGAAGAGGTAAGGTGAATCTCGCTTATTTTGAGGCTTTCAGGTTTTAGTTTTTTTTGATCTTTAAGGTATCCTTCAACCTCTGACGCCAAAGCAGAAACTACAGCTGGATTAGGTTATGAGTATTTACATTTTTGTAAATTAACTTTTCATATTGGGAACGGCACTGATTAGGGAGATGCTCAGTTTTTTTTTAAACACTGTAATGATCCAGCAAACTTAATGAGGCATTTAGCAGTTTCTTGTGAGGATAACTGGAACACAGAATAGATTTATTTCTTTTGCCTTGAAGACAAAGGGAGAAAAAACCAATGTATAGATTGTCTCCAAAATGTGGGTTCTGTTTCTAGGTATTACCTAGAACTTGTAGCAGCAGAAGGGAATTACACTGCTAAATTTAGGGATAGGGTTTCTTAATTCTAAATTGTTAAGAATCTCTAATGTCTAGAATTAAAACAATCTAGCTTATAGTGAGGGTTACAAATTGTAGCTCAATGAATCTACAGAATTCTGCCAACTGTTTTAGGACCCTAGGTAGCTGGGCAGTTTTTGTGTGTTTCTGAAGTATCTTCATGTATCAATACTGTCACCATCCTCTTAAAACATTCGCCATTCAGAAAGCCTGAACTACTTCAGAATAAGAAAGTTATGGTCGCCTCTTCTCAAACACTAGTGGCCAAGGATGCACAGGAGATGGTTTGGGTGCGACGTGCTGGCCTGGGGCTTTCTCCCCACACGACTGATTGGTACTTACTGATTGGTACTTACCCGTTACTTCTTCATCTAGTGCTTCAGTATGGTCTGCATCTACTGTGTGAAGGATAGAAACCATCAGGTTGAATTCTGATTTCCTTTTAAAAGCTTCTTTCCCCTGCTAAGTATTGAAATGTGCTCAGCAGCGAACACATTTTAACTGAGATAACTTGTACGCTTTGAGAGCAATCAGCCAAACCTGTGACAAATCGTATCTTTTTTTCTAAGGATGTTTGTTACGCAGATACCTGTTACACTAATACTTGAACTTGTACCTTGTGGTATTTGCTGTCTTTTAACTAGTCATAATATTCTTATATTATAGTTAACACTTTTGCAATCTGATATAAGGTGAGTGGGGGGTGAGTGGGGTGTGTGGGTGTATGTATGAGAGTGAAATGGTTCCCAGCTGAATGTAAGAAACCATTTTTTATAAAATTGTGACTTTTTAAAAAACCAACACTGTCTTTACCTTTTTTCCATTTATAAAATTAATAAGCTGCTCAGGGTATATTTTGTAGCTGTGGCACTGATCTGATGACACCTGCATCCATCAATAAATATTTATTATCAAACCACGACGCACCTACAAAGCTGTCCTGAAAACTTCCAATGCTTTTATTAATCTTGGTGGCAGATGTCTGTGATTTTTATTGCAGGGTCATGAGCAAAGGTTTAAACTTCTCTGACCACTTATCTTGGGGTCTTTGTGCACTGGCGACTTCCTGTTCTGTAGATTAACAGCTGGACTTGGTTTTCGGTGACTAGTGGGCCCCGTCTCCCAGAAGACTTAGTTCTGGTTTTGCTTCTGCTATGTCTCACCAGTAAGGGAGCAACAAAAGCAGTGAAGAGACTTTCTTCTCTATCGAAGGCCAAAGATAGGAGAACAAAAACTCATTTCCTTTTGGTGATAAATGTAGTCCGTCTGACAAACAGGAAGAAGAAAAGTCCTGTAAGGGGAAGAGAACACAGTTAAAGGGGTGGCTGGTCTCCCAGCTGTGGCCCCAGGCGGCGAGTCCCCGGCCTGAACAGCAGCCTCTGGTGCTGCGTTAGCTCATCAAATGCTCCCACGCCCTTTGTGGAGGGACAGTGTATGCATATGACACATGGAGCGTCACAGAACCTCACACCATTAATGAGCGCCTGAGCCGAAGTGTCCTTCCAAGTCAGCAGACGGAAGAAGAGGATCAATGAGTGAGTACAGCACGTTGATGTAGCCAACAAAGTGAAAAATTTGTTACAAGAGCTCAGGGCCCAGTGTGTCAAATTGTTTTTGACTCTTCTCAGTCTAGGAATTAAATTGACAGGCACAGTATTAGATGAAAAGACTTCGTACTGTCCAGAGTCCAGACGCCCCACCCCTGGAGCCCCTTCTCCTTTGGGGAAGAATCCTTTCCCTATGCGGGAGCTCCGCCCATCCCCATTAGAACTTGGAACTGGTTCATGACTTGCAGACCAGGGATTCCGATTAGCCACACTCCTCCTGGGCCTTAGTTTTCTCATCTCTGCTGTGTTTGTTTGGTCAGCTGATCGCTGAGGAAGACCTTCCCAGCTCTGGACTCTTAATACGTTAGGTAAGTCTAAAAGGACTTCAAAGAGCCACTAGCCCAGCAGTCTGCAGTTTCCTTTTCTCTAGCAGCATTACTTTTCCAAACCATCTCAGGTGGAAGCGTAACGCAGACAAAAACACAGCTCTGGGTGCTGGCTCAGCAGTCACGTGGCCGAGCCTGCTCCCGACCTGGGAACGCACAAGGTGGGTCAAGTCCACTCAGGGTGCAGAGGAACACAAACATGGCCTTCTCGTCTGCAGTGGGACTGCTGGGTCCCACGTAAGCGCGCGTTTATTTAACTGTACAGGAGGCTGTCGTGCTGTCTTCCGGGGTGGCTGTGTCATTCTGCACGGGGACTGGCTTTTTACCTTTTATATTTGTAACTGGGCTTTCTGGCTATAAACCAATTAGAACTCCATACCTCAACTATGAATTTTAGTTAATACCATATTCTACTTAAATGCATTGTTTTGCGTCTTTTAACTTTCCCCCTCTCCATATTATAAAACTTGGCCTAGATATTCTTAAATATGAACCATTTATTGCTCATTCATTTCACTACATGCCAACTCCTATTAAAGGGGGTCCCAGAGCATGGTGCCGGTACAGCACCAGGCCAAGCACGGTGCTGGGTTTGCAGGCGGCCCTGCAGCTCCTCCACTCCAGCCAACGTTTTCATTCCATTTGGTGAAAAGGACAACTGTCTCACCCACTCAGAGCTGCTCCAGGAGGACAGTGCACAGCCTGGTCACTTCTGCGTGACCCTACTCACCCGACAGGACCGAGCATGCCACTATACCTGACTGTCCTTCTGCATCAGGGTCCACAGGTCAAGTGCATCAATCCCACAGTCCTGGACTACTTGTAAACAGGCCCTGGCATATTCACCGACGACTGAGTTGAGGCGATTTAATTTGCACCCTATAGAGAAGAGAAAATCCAACTGCTGGATTTTATGCAACTGATAAACCCAAGTGCTGGTCTTTGTGCAAGTTCTACTACCTGGAGGGTTTCTCAGTTCAAGTGAACAGGCGTGTGCTTACAGACCCAAAGTGGGCCAGCCACGGGGCTTGGGGGACACAGGACGGGCCTCACGGGTCACTAGTGTGCTGCCCTCCCCAGCACAGGACCAAGGACGATGGGGATGAGGGGCCATGGAGGGCATCTAGAGGACACCGCATAGACACAGAGGCAGAAAAGGCCGGGGTAGCTGAGCGGCTTGGCTAGAGTGCAGGCCAGAGGCGAACGGAGTTGGGCAGGTGACCGCTACGGGGTGTGGTGGGGAGGACCGCTGGGCTCAGGCCCCGAATTGTTATGTGTAATGAGAAGCCACAGCCACGTAGTGGAAAAGTCACTTGTAGACTTTGGACCAGAGAAGGCGAGAGCTGGAAGGGAGCACAGAGGTCACTCAGGCCAGCCTGGGGGTCAGCAACCTTTCTCTGCCATGGGCTGGACAGGAGTCAGGCTTTACGGGCAACTATTCAGCCCTGCCGTCACAGCTCCAAAGTAGCCACGGACAACATGTAAACCATGGGCCTGGCCAGTGAAACTGTACTTGTTGTAGGCGATGGGGCGTCGTTTGCCCACCGACCCCGCAGTGTGGGGACTCTCACACTCAGGTACAGCAGGATCACCGGGGGATGCACTGGGCGCTCCCCTAGACTTCTGCTTCCACAGGTCTGGGATGAGTCCAAGAATCTGCACTTCTGCCAAGTTCCCAGATGACAGTGATCTGCTAATCTGGGACCACGGGAGAACCACACGTGGTCCAAAGTCATAAACCTGGCTAAAACTAGAGTGATACAGCAGGACTCATTACACACACGTCTACAAGAGTGCAACAGTCTCATGAGAGGTGCCCACCGCATTCTAGATACAGATTTTTTTATTCTATTATAGTCCATTAAAAAAATGTCACAACTCACTTGGTTTCGCGATCCGCGCATGGGTTGTGACCTGCAGCGTGAGAAGCACTGAGCTCTGGCCGCACTCCTCTGCCCGTCCAGGCTCAGCCTGAATGCTTCCTGTAGCGACTTTCCACCTCACAAGTGATCATTTTGACCTAAAATCGCCCTTGATGGTGCCCATGGGGGTCTTCCCTTTGCCCTCTGGAGCTAACAAGCAGGGCCTTCTGTCCTCTTTATGTGACGGCGCCCTTCAAATATGTGATGACAGCTGGCCTAGCTCCCCTGCTAGCCCAACAGCAGTTACTGGGTTCTAGTCATCTGTATCCGGCGCACCTGGCCAGGTCCTGGTATAGCACATAAAAGTGCCAAGATGCATAGTTGGTGGGGACAGAACAGGAGCCAGAACCCTGGCGCTGGTGAGCCCCGGAGCAGCCTCCGATCACTCAACCACCAGTTGGCAGCGGCAACTGGTGGCAGCGGAGAAGGGGCCATGTGCAGGTGGAAATGGGCAAAGCAACCTCCCCCTGCCGTTCAGAAGTCAGGAGACACCCTGAGTGCGGATGTCAGTGTCAAAGCGCAGCCAGCCCGACCCTCAGCGCCACGGCGGTGGCCTCCTGTGCACCCCGGAGTCGGGCAGATACCAGGCCCGGGGCCTGACTCACGCACGGCCAGAATCCTTTTCTGTGTCACGCTACGACATGCTGGGAGCTCTGCTTTAACTTCTGTCGACTAAAGCAGACAGACGGGAATTCACAGGCCCCCAAGAAGCCGAGGCCCCAGGCTGGAGACCAGGTCCCACCTGCTCCTCCCCGGGCCTGGCATCCGGGCCCGCACTCACCTGAGCTCAGGAGCTCACCCGCTCCTGTCCCCGTGCGGCCTCACAGAGCGGCGGTGGCGTGATGCGGATAAGCCTGCTCTCGGGCACGCCCACGGACTGCAGGTGCTGCACCGTGCTCGTCAGGTTTGCCACGTACTCCTCCAGGGGGATGCGCTGCTTGGGGTTCTCACCTGTTTGGGAGGAACGCGGACACTTCAGCCCAAATGCACATTTGCTGTAAGTGATGACAATTAAGGTTAATGCACATTCACAAATGGGCATAACTCGTGACGTCGCTGGGGAACTGTTTAGTGCCAAGCGCAGAAAGAGAAGGGGGAAGAGTTCAAGTACAGAGTCCTACATAAAACAGACTCCAAAGGCTCTGGCTCGGGGCCTTGTAAGCGCTCGTCTTTCCTCCTTTACTGGTCATGTGGCTATTAGTCAATTAGGCTGAATTTGTTAAGAAGTAAGACCTGTGCTGGGCAGTGAGCCTGCCCAGGTTCTAGCCCGGCTTTGTCACTGGCTAGCCACGTGCCCTTGGACAAATGATCAGCCTTTCTGTACCTCCGTTTCCTCGCTGGTAAAATGAGGATGACAGTAGGGTCTACCTCATAGGGTAGCTGTGAAAATTACATCAGCAAAGTGTGTAAGGCACTTAGAGCAAGGTGCCTGCTGGGAAGGAAGCCCTCAATAAATAAACTAAGCAACAGCTAACGTCACTGCAAAGGATTCCTTCTAGACAGGCTCACACACGGCTCCCTGCAGGCCATTTGCAAACCACACGTAAGTATAATCTAGGAGAAAAGTAACAGCACTCATGGTCCTGCCACCCAGAAAACCACTGCTGGCACTTGGTCATCTTCTTCCCAGTCTTTTCCATGCAGATATGGAGACTTAGAAAAAAGAGGGATCACACTGAAGATAAACGACCATATTGTGCTTTTTTTCACATAACATTATGAGCATCTCTGTTCCTACAAAAAGTCCTCAAAACCATGGTGTTTAGGTGTTGGGTGACCACATTGGATGCTTCTGTTTCCTTACTGTGCAGCATTCTAATGTTTTGCTATTATAAATACCTGTGCATAGAAGTCTTTACACATATACCTGGCTGCATTACATACTAGGTGTTTCCTTAGGCTGGGTTTCTAGATGAGGGAAGTCTCTAGGGAAGCTTTCCAGAAAGGTTTCAAGTTTTCCCACCAGTACTGTAAGAGTGCCTGTTTTCCACACTTGTCAGCTGTATTACTGCTTAAAACCATGGATTTGAGAGTCAAAAAACCAAAACTCCTTGTTTCAGTTTTCATTTTGTGGATAACAGAAGTTTTACACATTTTCAAACATGTACTAGCTACTAAATTTCTCCTGTTTCGATTACCTGTTTCTGCCTTTGCCTATTTTTTAAACTGGAGTTAACATTTTTCTTAATTGATTTCTACATTAAAGACATTAACCTTTTGTCTCTCATGCTTTTGCAAACATTTTCCTTAATGTGTCATTTTCTTTTTTTAATAGCTTTTTTGACACAGCTAATTTATTTCACAAATCTATTTTTTCCTTTGCAGTTTCCTCCACTGCAATTTCCTCTAAGTTTTTATACTTAGAAAGTATTTCTCCTTGTCCTATATTTGATAGAAATTCACCTGTTTGAAAACTTCTGGGTTTTTTTTGGAGCGAGCTTACAGTCTCCACTAACACCTGTAGTCTATGCTCTCACAGGCGGCAAGACTTCCTTGCATCACAGTCAGCAGCTGTCCCTTCCTTCCCTTCTCTCCAGCCTCACCGGAGAGGCCCGACCGTGTGCCTGTTAATAGCAGACCTTCGCTGCCGGGGGTGGGGCATGGGAGAAGCCTCTGGAAGCTGACTACTCTTCTCCTTTATGCTGAGCAGAGGGCTCTCCTTTCACGAGTAGGAAAGGAAGAAAGGCCTGTGCCTCTAGTCACAGCAGCAGTTCTTCCAAAAATATGGAGACATGTCTCCTGTTCAGACCTGCTTCCCATCGCCCAGGAGTCAAGCCTGTGCTGGGTCACAGCGCTGCTGCCCTGAGCTACCCTTTCTCCATCAGTGTGAGTCACACAGCAAGGTGTCCAGTTTGACCTCTCTGCTGCCAACTACATCAACTAAAGAGAAAGAAACATTAGAAATTGAGCACAGCACTACTGGACTCTAAAAAACAGTCAAGTGCTTGAAATTTTAGGTCTGCCAATGACCCAGGCATGTAGAAAATAAGTCGGGAATAAAATTCACTGACATTAAAGAAAGCCAGAAGAAATACAAGGAAGTAAACTCAGGGAACTCATTATAAATTTGGCAAAACTTTACCTACTGGGAGATAGGTAAACAGATGAAAAAAGTATATAAATTTAAGTTTGCCCTAACGAAAAAAACAATTAAAAATGAACTAGGAAAACAAGAATGCCTTTACCTTTTAGCGCACTGTCACTGGCACCGAAGAAAACTGTACCTGCTGCTGGGCTGTCCAAACTGCTCCCCTTCCGGTTAGCCTCGCGAGGATAATCTTCACCCATCTGGTATTGTAACCCGAAAATCCACGATTCAGAACATCGCATTTTCTGAAATGAAAAAGTTTTAAAGATGAATTGTAGGGACTTCCCTGGTGGCACAGTGGTTAAGAATCCGCCTGCCGATGCAGGAGACACGAGTTCGAGCCCTGGCCCGGGAAGATCCCACATGCCGCGGAACAACTAAGCCCGTGCGCCACAACTACTAAGCCTGTGCCCTAGGGCCTGAGAGCCACAACTACTGAGCCCACGTGCCACAACTACTGAAGCCCACGCACCTAGAGCCCGTGCTCCGCAACGAGAAGCCACCGCAGTGAGAAGCCCGCGCACCACAATGAACAGCAGCCCCTGCTCGCCGCAACTAGAGAAAGCCTGCGCACAATGAAGACCCAATGCAGCCAAAAAAATAAATTAAAAAATAAAATTTAAAAGAATAATAATAAAAAAGAATAATTGTGAGCAAAGAACTATTTCTGGTCGCCTGTAGGCAACCTTCCGTGTGGGAGGGTGTGCTTGGGCTCACAGTGCCCGCTCTGTGCCATGGCCCTGCTGCTTGCCCAGGTGTCACTTTGGTAAGATCAGAGCAGCAGCAGAGTTGAGGCATGTTCGTCGCCTTCATGGTTCCAAGATGTAGCAAGTCCATCCCATTCCTTGACGAGAGAGGTTATGAATAATAATGAACAGAGGGGCTATGCAGACTAGCTGATTTCATGCATGGTCAGTGGGGTACTTTTGAAATGGAGTTTACAGCAGGCAGGTATTAAAGGTAGAAAGGCACTAATAAGCTGGAACTCTAATGGGATAAGCGTACACGGAATTCCTGAGACTTATTTTACAGACCGTTTTTTAAGGGGAGGTTTAGGTTTACGGAAAGACTGAGCAGAAGGTACAGACTTCCCCTAACCCCCAGCCCCACTCCCCGACGACCTACACCACCCACCAGTGGGTGCATTTGTTACAGGTGCCAAACTACACTGACACACGGTTCTCATTATTACCTGGTGGTTTTGATTCAGTAGTTTCAGTAAATATGTATTAGTTGTGTTTCAGTTTAAACCAGTTTAACGGGCATTTTATTCCTTCTTAAAAATGTATGATTTGATTCACAGTACTGTATGGTATACTGAAAAAACCAACCATGGAAACTGAGCTGGCTGCCTGCGTTAGAATCCCAGCTCCAACACTGAGTAGCTGTGACTTCGGGTAGGTTTGTAGATGTTTCAAGTTGTCCACTAAAAAAAATTTTTTTCCCAATGAATCTCCAACTTCAGTTGATGGTTAGCAAACCGATGTGGTTAATTTTGGTGTACGGTTCAAATTCCTACATATAAGCAACTAAGCAGAGAAGCCAGGGCACCAAGAAATAACTGCAGGCCAAAGGCCAAGCACCGGAGGCCAGAGAACTGCAGGGGGGACTCCTGTTTGAGGCTTCTCAGCATTTATAAGCCTTCGGGGCAACAAAATTTCAGCCACGTTTATTTCTAAGTGTGGTTCTTGTGTTTTTAGTGTGTAACGATTACAAAATGCTGACTAGCCATTTTAAAGCCTCCACTTAGAATACTTTAAAATGGAACACTCTAGAATTTTGACAAGTCTGTCTTACATCCATCCAGTAGTTCAGTCACGCACGGCAGCACTTTAAAAAGCAAGAGGCAGGCGGAGCGGCTGGGCCCGTGAGCCATGGCCGCTGAGCCTGCGTGTCCGGAGCCTGTGCTCCACAACGGGAGAGGCCACAACAGTGAGAGGCCCGCGTACCGCAAAAAAAAAAAGGCAGAACAGCTCCCTCCCTGAGGCCTGTATGCTGTGGCAGTGACGCAGAGCAGCCAGTGCCTGGATCTCGCTGCCCTTGACTGGCAAGGAGGCCTTGACAACTTACTTAATTTCTCCGGGCCTCAGTCTTCCCAGCTGTGAGAGATGAACACTAATACCTAATCTGCTAGGATATGTGAAGATTAAAAGTAATGTAGTGGCCAGATACGTACAAGGAGCTCAATAAATACCAGCCATTATAAATTTTAAAATATATATATATATATATATCATTATTATGAGGCTGTGAACCAAAAAAACTGCTAGTGAGGCCCATGGTTGAAACTGTTAAAGTTCCCTTCTGAAAGGGGAAGAATATCTGAATTTCTCTGGATTGAATAACATAATCAATAGTGCCCAAGTTATTCAAAAGGCTGGAAGAAACTGGAAAATTAAGAAAGGTTTTTACATGAATTCCTGGCTAATAACAGGTATTTAAGTTCAGATGAAGTTGGGAAAAGGATAGGAATTAACTAAAAGATTCCTTCCAAAACATCCAGGCTCTGTAAGATTGATTGCCTTCCAGAAAAAATGTAAATTAGGTTTTTATAAATGACAACAGGCAAGAACATATCTTTAAAAGCAAACAGAAGCTTTTAAAAACTGAAAAAGGTGAGTTTTTTCTAACCTTTCAAACCAAGTATTTTTGGTTAAATACTTGGATAAGGCTAAAAAAAGATTGATGAAAATATATCAATAAATTAAAAGCATTTAAGTGGATTTAAGAATGGTTAAAATGCTTTTTGTACTGAGTATACAAAGATCTTATTTAAAGCTACAACTTAAGGACGTCACTATGGGACACAATTACATATTTTAAATTTATTGCTATCCACGTAGTTAGTACAGAAGGGCAGTCACAGTAAGGTGACTCTTAATAACCTTCGAACTTGGAAGTTAGGTGAAATTAAAACACTGAATCAAGTCAGTTCTGGGCCTTGCACGTGGCTGAAGCAGACAGTCTCTGCAAAAGATTCACCCCCAGCGTCAACGTGGCTAAAGACCGCGTTCCTTCGGGCAGCTGTCGGTGTGGGACAAAGGGCGACGCTGCCGGCACACAAAGGGGGGGCTGGGCTGGAGCTGCGGTCCCTCTGCCGCGCACCCCTCCCGACACGGCCTCCTGCTTTCTCCCGTGGGCCTGCCTGGTGGAAGGTGGGCGCGCCCGCCCGCCCACAGGAGGAGCCCGCTCTGCCTGGGTTCTAGCTCCCGGGTCGCGGTGCCACTCTGGTTCACAACGGGCTCTCTCGGGCTTGGCCGAGGGCAGTGAGCCCAGGAGAGGGGAGGCGGGACTCACCCAGCTGAGGCCTCCCGGTGGCCGCTCGGTTTTGTGCCTGCTGTCACAAGATGCTTTTAAGAGTGACATAGATAAAGCCTAACAGACCACACACTGTCTGCAGCTTCTTTTCCTATAATTAGTCTCAATTCTGCAAAATAACTACTTGCTAATTAAATGGTCTTCTAGCAATCACACCTGTAAACAATTCTGACAAGATTTTAGTACTAACATTATTATGTACTGGAGAAACATTTGCAATGCCTGCAGTTTTTCAGACCATTTGAATAATTATTTAGCTTTTCCATATCTTCTATTTGATGAGAAAAGGTTAACGGACTAATTAAACAGGTACTGAATTTTAAAAAAATAAGGAGCCAGTACTTATGGAGCACTTCTCACGGGCCGCGCACTTGACTAAGCAGAGCACAGCAGCTGACTCACCCTCCAACAGGAGAGCAGGGCCCTTGTCCCAGAGCTGGAGGATCCTGGGCGCTGGGGCCAGGCCACCTGACACTTCTTAGTTGTGTGACTTTGTTATCTACCTCTCCCCACCTTATTCTTCTCAGCTATAAGATGGATAGGAGGATGATAAATCACTGTATTACTGGGCAGTTGTAGAGATTAAATGAGGCAATAAACATGAAGTATTTTAAAGTCTCTGGCACCTGAACTGGAACATTGTTTCCCTTTTAATGATTTCCATTTGGCAAATGGAATACCAAAATCATCACTATTTTTATTAATCTGATATATTTTAAAATATTTTTTAGATATCTGATATATTTTATTATTTATTTTATATATCTGATATCTTTTATAAAGAGAATCTGGGGGGAAAAATATCCAAAAATAAATCCAACTTTGGTTTTAGAATATATTTTGTATTCTTTCAATTGAACTCCTTGCTAATTATTTAAATCGTACCCACCATAACTGAAAAAGAACTTGTCTTGTTTAGATAGTGAATAGCTGTATTTTCGGATCCAAGCCCCTAATATATTTTACAACTTTTAGGGTTTGGTTTCATGAGGTAGCAAAGTTTAACTGAACCTGAGCGCTGCCCTTCTCTCCCCCAACCCCTCATACACACTAACTAGGAAAGGCCTGCAAAGACAAAAAAAGGACGAACTTACTGTTTCAAACTGCATCATTCACTCTCTTCTCCATCAATAAACACTCAAGTAGGAATCTAGAAACTATCCTCACCTGACCAGCTTGTGCGCCAGTGACGCTCCCCACCCACCCTGCTGGAAAGAAAACTGCAGAAAGAAAAGCCCATTACGCTTCATCAATGTAATTAGGCCATATTGCTCAGCGACTCCCCTCTTGTTTTCTCTTTGTACTCCCTGACTTCTCGGCCTTCACCATTTGCTTTGCTCCGCGGTCGTTTTAGGGATTACTAGAGCTACACCTCAGCAGCACTCTGGAAGCAAGAGGTAGTTTTCTTCCCTGTCAATTGGATTTGAGCCAATCACCTGCATTTTATTGAGACCTATATTAGACTCAGTGTTATCTAGAAAAGTTACTTAAATCTAGGTACAAGAGATGAAATCAACTGTATGTTCAGTTAGGAAGTGAAATCCACACTACACTACCTCTTCATAGTTGAAAGAATAAAGAAATTAATTACAGAACTCAGGGTGAATATTTTTTGATATACATTCCCACGGAACTTGGAGAGTCCTTACTGCCCTAGATGCCTAAAAATAATGTTACCAATTGTTAGCATACACACAGAAAACTGGTTTAGGAAGTCATGTCTGAATGTGAGAAGAATAAAACAAAATGAAAAACACCATGGGAAGGTAATTTTTAAAACGTGCTCCCCCTCCCTGAAGTAAGAACATCTACTTTTCCTTGAATGAGAGTTGAAATAATCTTGGCTGAAAAGGTGATCTGGGACCTGGGGTCCTCGGCTGCAAAGCTTGCCCCTGGACCTACGTCTCCTCCTTCAGCAACAGAATACAAAAAAACGCTAAGGGACTAAAAATAACTGCGTTCCTGCGCAGCTGGGGCAAATTATGGACAAGACACAAAAAAGGCCAAAAACCCAACTGCCACTTCTGAAGAGCAGAGAGCCAAAGCAGGGTCCTGCGCGTGCCCCCTGCGCTCAACACCGCCAGGGAGTGGGCAAAACACCTCAGCCGCCCCTCCGCCCGACCCCCTGGACACACCCCTACCCTCACCCCACGTAAGGAACGAGCTCGCCTCCCGCCGCTCGGGCCCCTTTTTGGGGGCGGGAGCAAGGGAAACTGTTATTGTTTTCGCTCCCCTCCTGCACCTGCAGGAGCCCCAGTCAAGCCCTGCCTGAATTTCTGGACTGGCCTCTTATCCATTTCTACTGATTGGGGAGCCCAAGAACCCTGGTCGGTATCACTTGGCGGCATCTCATTCAAGAGAGCGGCGAGATGTTCCATCAGAGGAAGCACGGGGGTTGAGTGTTTTCCGCATGGAATGGGAGGTACGAAACTCCAGGAAGTGCTTCAGGCGCCGCCGTGATCTGTGCAAGGTGACGCCCCAGGAAGCTCCGCGTGGCACACAAAGCACTATTCCCGCTGTGAGCAAATTCAAAGTACCTTTCAGGGAAAAGGACAACAGCCACTGACCAGGAAGACACTACGATGAACACAACGTGCCAGGTCTTCCCAAAATCCCTATGAAGAATGACACAGAAAGGAAAGAGAGGCCAGCCCAGGCACTGGCACTCCCAGCGCGTGGCGTGGACAAGTCCCTGAACTTCCCTGCACTTCGTCTCATCCGTCAAACAGGCCCCCTAAGACTAAACGGAACGTGTGTCCAGGACTGCGAAGCCGCGCTGCCCTCCTGAAGATGTCATCCTCCCTGAAGTTACCAACACCGAGAAATGAACCAATGCCAGGGTGTCACGAAGAGGCCCTGGAGGCGGCGGGGACACGACGCTCTGTGAGCGTCCAGGCCTTGGGGCAGCATCTGCTGGGGGAAGCGGGGTGCAGGGAGGCGGCCCGACAACTTCATAACAGTCGGGAGGAATGGGCCCCTCCCGCGCGGAAGGGAGAGCCAGGAATCACCGAAGAAGCCTGGCCCGCGGCTCTCGGCCAGGGTGCCGCCCCCCCGAGGGCGCGGCGAGGACGCCCAAGAGACCGGGCCACGTGGGGGCCGAGCCGGGTTCCGCGGAATGGACGGCGCCGAGCGGCGGTACCTGGGTGGTGGAGTCACCGAAGAGCAACACCCGAGGCCAGAGCAGAGAGCTTCCGCACACAACAGCCTCGCACAGCGCCATTATACCGGTAGCCGGGAGGCGGGGCCACGCCGGATATCCGGGCGAGGCGAATAGCCGGGGGCGGGGCAAGGCCGGATATCCGGGCGGGGCGAGCGGCCGGGAGGAGGGGCTCCCGGGGGGCTGGGAGGCGGAGGCGCCTGCGGAGTCCGACGCCGTCGCTCGTTGGCTGTCTTCGCCCACTGGCTCTCTTTCCCGCGTCGCTCCGTAGGGACTCCAGTAGCAGGGCTCCTTCGGCGACCAACCGGTCACTTTTAAGACGTGCGATAGCTGTTGCTTCTTGGAAAGCTCATTTTTGTCCGTTTACAAAAGCTTGGCCCCCTGCATGCATTCGCTTTTTGTTCACTTATCCGAGTCGTTAGGTGCGGGGCGCGCGTGGCTACCCTGCCCTCGGGGAGCCTACCTGCCCTCTGGCCATTGTCGCCTGTCAGTTCCCCAGGCGGAAACCAACCCCGAAAGGAGAGCGATTTGGCGCTGCCACCAGATCCAGCATCACCCACCCCGCGAAGGTGGGTTCAGTTTGAGCGAGTCGCAGGCACTTCCAAGGGGCTCGTTCATCACGCAGCCCTCTCTTGTTAAGTAAAATTAGGCAAGCATTTGTCCAGCGTTTTGACCTCAAAGAGAAACTGACGACGTGTGCTAAAGACAGTAAGGCCGACTATCCAGAAAGGACAACGATGGTGGGCTTTGGCAGTAGGGGAGATTAGGCTAAACCCTAAATACAAGAAAGAAAAGGGATTTATAGCCAAGGAGCAGGGTGAGGGGTCAGGTGAATGTAAAAGTACTAAGAGGCGGGGTAAATCTTTGCTAAACTGCCCTGACAGGGTTCCTCCTGAAGGCAGGGTGACATCAGGATGCGGAATTTGAGCAGCTACCCAGGGGGATCAGACCAAGAGGGAGGGATTTTTGCTAAACCGACTCGGCGAGATTCTTGCTACAACTGGGCTGAAGGGGCCAAGGACAGGACCCAAGGTGGGGGGGGGGCTTAGTCAGAGAGAAGACAGAAGAGCCTGGCGCAGGTTTGCTCAAGCACTTAATGAAGTGTGACAGCTGTGATAAAATCGAGCCAGAAGGGTGTCCTGAAACAACTGAGCTTAAGGTGAAAACCAGAAGGGGAGCAGTGTGTGTTAGAATAGCTGCCGTTTCCGTGGCTTGGACGTAGGGTGTTGGGGGGGAGAGTGGCTGGAGCTGGAGAGGCAGGTAGGGCGATACAGAGCGGGACCCCGTCTTCAGGCTGGATTTCCCTGGCTTCAGCTAGAATCAACTGGGAGCTTTAAGAATGTGCTGATAAAGGACCACCACTCTAGACCAACTAACAACACTTCTGATGGTAGGTCGTGGGCATCAGTACATCTTTAATGCTCCCCAGGTGATTCCAATATGCGGCCAGGGTAGAGAACCCCTGTTAAGCCAAGTTAAGGTGTTTGGATTTCATCCTAATTAATCACAGTAAAGAAGCCCTGAAGGATTTTCAGCAGGGAGGTTTTCAGCAGATCTGTTACTTTAGGAATCAGCTATAGGGAGAGGAGGGAGGGAGGCTGGGGCAGGAACCAGAGGGGAAAAGATAACTTGGACTCCGAGCCACAGTGGAGATGAGACGAGGACAGATTCAAGAGCAATTTAGAATCCTTAACTGAAATCGGCTACCTCAGGGAGAGGGGCTAGCAGAAAGGGCTTGCCACTTTTGCTGTGTATAACCTGCGTGGTAAAGATATCACAAGTGTGTAGTTTTTTTTGTAACTTAAAAATGTTTTAACATCTATCATAACACACTCTTATATGACCCTTAGGCCTTTGGTTTGGGCCAAAGACAAAGTAGGGTATCTTATAGAAATAAATGTATTTGGTTTCAAGTAAAAATTCAGATTCAGGCACCGAAGTGTGTCACCAAAGCACAGGGAAGGACTAAGCAATGTCAGTGCAAATTAGTGACTGTCGATCGGTCGATGGCTTTAGCTTGACAGTGAGGGTAACAGCTCTTTAGCTGCCCCTTCCCGTGCTTGTTCCCACCCCCTCTGCTGAGGGAGCAGCCAGACCCTTCACTGAAGTAGAGGCCAAAGCCGCCCTGGGCAGTCGACCTGCTCCCCCAGCACCCGGCACCCGACAATCCTGTGTCCAGTTACTTGCAAGTCTGAACTGCTCGTACTTGGAAGAAAATGGATTAATGATTAAGTTATACAGGAAACGATTCAACACACATAACGAACCCTTGAACCTGAGTCATAAAAATTATATTTTGAATATCTCTGAATTGATTGTATACATACAAAGAAAATATTATTGAATCTCAAAAGTCCCAATTTTACAGACATATAAATTAAGGAATTTGTCAAGAATAATGGGAGGGGAGAAATAGAAAAAGGGCTTAAAACTTTAAGTGATAATATGGAATTATTAATTCAAATTCAGAAAATGGATACGAAAATTCAAACCATCACTCATTTCCTTCCTGAAAACAGACAATAATGCATTCTGTTGCAGCTGCTATGAGCAGATCTTAAAGGTGTCAGTGGGAGCTGCATGCAACCCCAGAAGCAGAATCAGCAACGGCAGTTTATTTAGCAGTGCTAGAATAATGGACGATGAGTTGCTAATTTAGCAGGGTTCAAACAGGTGCTGCAATAGAGGCCATTTGCCATCAAAAGTAAACAGGCTACCCCAGAGAAATTAATGTATTTTATTTTAAGTAACAGAAGTAGAGTCAAGCATTACAAAAAAGTTTAACATCTACGGAGACATAAGGTTATTAGTGAACTGGCGTGAGGGCCTCATATAGTCTCTGGGCTGCCAGTTCCACCATTTCTCGGAGGGACTCATCATCTTCACTTCCTTCTTCACATTCTACAGTCTGAAAACGAGAGCACAGACATGCCTTTCAATGGAAGTGTCTAGAATTATTATATGGAAGATAAACTAATGCTCTTTAAGAACAATCGTTTCCCATAGGGGTGGGGGGCCTTGATTATTAAGAGCCAGAATCACTGCACACCTGTGGGTCTGCACCTGGAGGCAGAGACATTCCCGAGAGCACAATGACTTTGTTAGAGATTAACTTTTGAAAAAAGAAGAATAAAGGGAAAGTCAAGTGAACTACGTTTACTTCAAAGCCCATGTTTGGATCTAGTAAATAATACTCCAAGGAATCTAGTCTGTGCAACACAAATTACTTAGCAAGCAATGGATGTGGTCATCTAATCAACATTTGGTATTAAATTTGGTTTAGATTCACTAATCATCTTCCAGTTACTCCTCAACTACAAAACACTATGCTGTTTAAAACAATTTTTATCACACAGTAAATATCCCTCATGTAAAAATTTAGGAAAGAAAAAAAAATACCCTTAATTCCATGACCTAATGATAAATCACTGTTAACATTTCAGTGCATAACCTTCTAGACTTCTGGCTATACATGTGTATTTCTTCAAAACAAAAATGGGATAATTCAGCACATTGACTATCTTGTAACTCCTCCCCACTCAATAATGTATAGGTGGACAACTCTGCACCTGAATAAATCGTTTCTAGTGGCTGTATAGATAGTATTCCATGTATAAGGGTACACCATACACATTATTTATTCAGTTATTTTATTAGATCCTACTCTTGGAAATTTAGGTCTCTTGCAGTTTTGCTAATCAATACTAAAATAGACATCCTTGTATATATATATATCTTTGCTCACTTGCCTAATTATTTTCTTTGTTAAATCCTGCAAGTGGAATTGTGGATAAAGGTTATTTACCTTTTGAAGGCTTTTGATGCAGATCACCAAACCGCCCTGCAGAAAGAACACACCACCTAACGTACAACCTTCTCCCCGTCCTATGTGGCACTGGAAAATAACTGTTTCCCTCTTCTTTCACCATCACTGGGTCATATCACTGTTTTTAATCTGTGCCCAGTATAAGCTCAAAACAGTGATATTTCATACTTTCAATTTGTATTTCCTTTAATTATTAGTGGATCTGATCTGAACATTTGTTTCATGTGTTTACTGGCTCTCTCTATGTCTTCTCTAGTGAATTACTTGTTTATGTTCTTAGCTTATTTTTCTATTGAGGTAAAATAAACCTAGTGTTTTCTCAAAAGACTATATAGAAGAAACCCCAAACACGTTACTTGTTTAGTAGATGAACTGCTGTAATCTTCAAAAACAACCCCACAAGAAAGATGATACTTATTCATTTATGCTTGTGAAATAATTATGAAAGGTCTGCTGGTGCGGTGGGCGTGGGCCTCACGCTCTCAAGTTCTATTGTTTGGAAAAGCCACTTGGATCTTGCTGCAAACAGAAGAGCAGCTTCTCTGAAAGTCTGGAATTAACTGGATGCCAAAGTAGAGAAATGCTGACGTGGATTAAGGCTTTCCATTATGAAAATGGAAAACAGTGGAGTAATAAAGACAAGGGAAATGTGTACTATGTAGCAAGTGGAAAAACGCTTATGACAGAGAAATAAAAGGTGTAAAACCTGACATATGATAGCGTAAACACAATCTATTAAAAAAATGTAGGAAAAAAACTGGAAGAAAACACCAAAATGCAAAAGTAAACTTCAAAACAGATTATTTTTGCTTTCACTTTATCTCCCAAGTGTCTTAAAATGTAGGAATGAACAGCTACATACCCGTGTCTCCAAGTTTATGTTAGCAGTTTTTCCGTCCACTGTGACGCTAAGGATAGAACCATCTTTTACACTAACACAGTCTTCTCCAAATATGTCCCTTAAGATAAACAAAGATGCAGTATTAGTGGAAAATGCTTTACAAATATATAAAGTACAACTTTATATATTTGGGGAGAAATAATATTGAAGATAGGCCCTAGTTCTGAAGTAGAATACTGACTGTATCTACCCCGGAGATGTACTTCTTAATTATTTATTTTCACATACTTTGTTCATTTTATAATACAGGTGAAATACACAGCTATCGTTCATTAAGAATGCTCCATTCAGCAGGCATTGCACTAGGCACTTTATATACATTATCTTAACCTATATTAATTTTGGTAAGGAGCCCTTTTCACCCAGACCTGGGACTGCTATAGCCACAGGGTTGGAAACCAACCAACACAGAACCCGCTGCCTTTTTACCAGCAATGGAAATCAGCGCTCCTGCACCGGTGCCTGCTTTTTAGTTTGTATGAGAGGGATGCTTTTTAAAATCAAAATGACAACACCAAGAACACTTCTGAAGATGTGTGACGGCTTCTGTAGGCAAAGTCACCATTTAAAGCCTAGCATTCATTTTTTAAAAGCCACTAAATGGCTGCTTTAAAAGATTATCAGTGTGGAATTTTGAGGAAAGGAAGGAACAGAAGTGTTAACATAAAAATCTCCAAACATGCAGAGCACCTCAAAACGTCTAGTTAAGTAACTTTCAATTTCAAAACAGAAGCACTGGGACTTCCCTGGTGGTGCAGTGATTAAGAATCCACCTGCCAAAAAAAAAAAAAAAAGAATCCTTCTGCCAACGCAGGGGACACGGGTTCAAACCCTGGTCTGGGAAGATCCCACATGCTGCGGAGCAACTAAGCCTGTGCACCACAATTATTG